ATGGAGAGCCATGAAAACAAAATGAATGAACTATTTCAGAGTATTTATGAGAGGAAAAAATTTTGTGTGAACACTCGACAGTAATTGACTGGCTAATGGGATTTAAAACCTGGCGACCACTGGTGGCTGATTTGCCACCAGTCAATAAGACTAATCCCCAACATACGGATTAAATGCAAACAGTGCATATATACACTGAGAGATGCACACTTCTCTGTGTACATATACATGTGTGAGAAATTGCATTGAGGGGTCCAGGAAGTGAAGCTCCACCTGTACAACCCAGGAGAGTACAAGTAGGCGAGTACTCTCACAAGAACACTTAGGGAGACAGTTGTAACGCAAACAGTGCCTAGCTTGGGTAACAGGAACTCTTGGGGAGACACCGTTCTAACGCTAACAGTGCCTAGCTTGGGTAACAGGAACTCTTGGGGAGACACCGTTCTAACGCTAACAGTGCCTAGCTTGGGTAACAGGAACTCTTGGGGAGACACCGTTCTAACGCTAACAGTGCCTAGCTTGGGTAACAGGAACTCTTGGGGAGACACCGTTCTAACGCTAACAGTGCCTAGCTTGGGTAACAGGAACTCTTGGGGAGACACCGTTCTAACGCTAACAGTGCCTAGCTTGGGTAACAGGAACTCTTGGGGAGACACCGTTCTAACGCTAACAGTGCCTAGCTTGGGTAACAGGAACTCTTGGGGAGACACCGTTCTAACGCTAACAGTGCCTAGCTTGGGTAACAGGAACTCTTGGGGAGACACCGTTCTAACGCTAACAGTGCCTAGCTTGGGTAACAGGAACTCTTGGGGAGACACCGTTCTAACGCTAACAGTGCCTAGCTTGGGTAACAGGAACTCTTGGGGAGACACCGTTCTAACGCTAACAGTGCCTAGCTTGGGTAACAGGAACTCTTGGGGAGACACCGTTCTAACGCTAACAGTGCCTAGCTTGGGTAACAGGAACTCTTGGGGAGACACCGTTCTAACGCTAACAGTGCCTAGCTTGGGTAACAGGAACTCTTGGGGAGACACCGTTCTAACGCTAACAGTGCCTAGCTTGGCTAACAGGAACTCTTGGGGAGACACCGTTCTTACGCTAACAGTGCCTAGCTCGGGAAGCAGGAACACTTAGGGAGACACAGTTGTAACGCTAACAGTGCCTAGCTTGGGTAGCAGTTGTTCTTGGCTCCATTAAATCCACAGCAGTGGGTATAAGGAGGCAGAAATTATGGTAATGATTATGTAGACGTGACAAGGAGTGGTGAAGCAGCGCCAGTGTTTGTGTACAACTGTGCTGGAGGAGGTCTTAATGTGGCTACCGTGTTAATGTGGCCAAGGTGTTAGTGTGGCCAAGGTGTTAATGTGGCCACCTTGTTAGTGTGGCCAAGGTATTACTATGGCCGAGGTGTTAATGTAACCACGGTGTTAATGTAACCACGGTGTTAATACGACCACATTGTTAATGTGACCACGGTGTTGATATGACTATGGTATTAATGTGACCACGTTGTTAATATGACCACGGTGTTAATGTGACCACGGTGTTAATATGACTGTGGTATTAATGTGACCACAGTGTTAATATGACTATGGTATTAATGTGACCGCAGTGTTAATGTGACCACGTTGTTAATGTGACCACGATGTTAATATGACTGTTACGCAGTGCGCTACAGAAAAATATTTTATAAAATAACGCTCCATATATAATGTCATTTTCAGTGTAGCATACTAAAATCGGATGTGTAATATTCCCTGTAAGCGAACGCGTGTTATTCCTGTCAGTCAGGCAGTGGCCAGGACAGGAGCAGATGAGAGGTGTGTTTAGTTCAGTACGACTCGGGTGGTGACGGAGGTGAAGTCATCATGTTTGGGCGGTAGTTTGAGCAGGTAATTTTGGTAAATTTTTAGTCTATACTATAGGTGTTTGTGTTTAAGTGTTCTCATGTTTATTTGTAAAGCCCTGTATGCAGGGGCCTGTGTTTTGGAGAGTAACGTTTCCACTTTAGGCTATGTAGCCTACAGAAAGGGGGGGTGTCATGGAGCCTCCCTGTTCATAAATGTTCATATATTTTGTTCAACTCATTAGTATCAGTGTGCTCGTGAGCTAATGTGAACTTGAGTGTGGTGGCTTTTCTTGCAGTAGTTATAAGTTGTATTTAAGTTACTGTTAATATTATATATTTTTTTGTATGGGTGAGTTTTTTTTGTCCTTCCTTATACAACATTAATTATTTGCAGTCATGCTTAATTTGTATGAGTACATGCTGGCCCAAGATTCGCTATGTTTTCAGAGTAATTTTATAACCCCTAGACAGCAGTGTGAGCAGCCTTAATTAAGGAGCCAGGAACATTTTAAGTTACGACATCAAAGTCCTAACAATGACCACGGTGTTAACGTGACTACGGTGTTAACATGGCCACGATGTTTATGTCACCACAATATTCATGTTAATGTCACCACGGAGTTAATGTGACCATGATAATAACATGACCACGGTGTTAATGCGACCATGTTGAGAGGGTTCCATGGAGATATGATGGTCGGAGATAAACTTACATTAGCAGAAGTCGTGAGGGGAATAGCCCAGCCTACCTGTCGCCTTGAAGCCCACGCTGGATCTAAGAGGGAGGCATGGTGAGGGACGCTCACCAGCGATACTGCGTGACGTTAAATGCTAGCCGCTAAGCCTGGCAAGGGATCGTACATATAATATACATAGATGATACTAACTACGATACTACGATATGCTACACAAACATATACATAGGATCAGTAGCTTTACTGACAACCACGGTGTTAAGTGACCTACTTACCTGGAGTTTGTTCCGTGGATCAGCGCCCTCGCGGCCCGACCCATGATCGACCTTCCCTGTGGATCAGAGCCTGATCAACCAGGCTGTTACTGCTGGCTGCACACAGTCCAAAGTATGAAACAGCCCACCTAGTCAGGAACTGTCCTTAGGAACGTATCCAGCTTCTTGAAGACCCCCTCCCTTATGTATGATAGTAGGATGTTGCATAGTCTTGGGCCCCTTACGCTTATTATGTCGTCTCCCAGTGTTCTCGTGGTACCCCTGCTTTTCACTGGAGGTATACAGCACTCTCTATAGTATACCCCTTCCCCCTCCCATTGCTTAATAGAGATACTTATTGCAGACTCAGAAAGAAACCCTTAGAGTAAGTTAATATTAACTTAAGCAAAACAGCAGAACGATTACTGAAAGACAAAGATGAACTAATTAAAAAATTCTTGTTTCTACACAAGAAAGCGTTAATGTTATCCCAGGAATTAATCATAATTCAGGTCATAAAGATAACGGAATAATATTACTCTCACGAAGGAAATGGTTATCAAATAAGTGGATAAACTGATACAAAATAAGTCCCAGGGGCCTTGAGCTGTTTTCAGAGGTACTAACAGCGCTGTATGGCCCTTGTGGGTTTAGTGCTTAGTTCTCATTATAATAATCAAGGGTACTTCAAGTGTGCAGGTGGGAACTTAGTCCAGTGATGTGGAAGATGGATAATGTAATTCCTATATTTAAATCAAGAAATAAGTCAGTTCCATCAGATTACTGTCCAATAAACTTGACGTCAACAGCAGACAAACTGTTAGAATCAGTTATAGTCGACATAAGAAGTCAGTTGATCAGTAAGACACATGGTTTCCTTTTTCCGAAACGTTTCGCCTACACAGTAGGCTTCTTCAGTCGATACAGAGAAGCTAGCAAAAGCAGTGGAAATGTAAAGATGATGTAATTTTTAGTTTTTAGTTGGTCAGTCCCTCAGCCTGAGGAAGACTTCAGCTCCGTATTCTGTAACGTTGATCCAGACTATGGAACTGACCTTTCCTTCAAGCTGAGGGACTGATTACCTCAGAACTACTTCATCGAGGGTGGTGGACTGATTATTTCATCTTTACACCTCCACTGCTTCTGCTGTTTCTGAAGAATTAGACACACCAGGAGGCCTGGTCACAGACCGGGCCGCGGGGGCGTTGACCCCCGGAACTCTCTCCAGGTAAACACGTGCAACTTCTGGGTATCTTTACCTTGTAGACGCTTCGATATCCACTGGTTTTATCATTACAAAACAGACATAATCCAAAGACTGTAGAGTTATACATATACAGAAGACAGTGGAAGATGAGGTAATCAGTCCCTCAGCCTAGGAGCAGGTGATGAGTACCGTAGTCTTCAAGAATCTTAAGCACAGGCAGGAAGATTCCCCCGTTGAAGTAGATCATGCCCAGGAGTGGGGCCAGGAGGTAGCAAGTAGGTTGTAATGATGTCTGTACTAAGATTCATGATATTGCTGTGTCTGGCAAGATGTATATCAGTGATGTATAATATCTACAAGATAATGAATTAGACACATGTTCAACATCATGGAATCTTGGTACAGAGGACATCACCACAACCTATTTGCTAACTCCTGGCTATGACCTACTTCCAATGGGTAATCCCGCCTACCAGTGACACTGCCTTCCTCTGCTACACCTCCTCTGACTCCAATATATAAGCACTAATCTTCCTGCCTGTGCTTCTGAGTCTTCCAGACCGGTGGTCTCACCTGCTCCTAGGCTGAGGGACTGATTACCCCGTCTTTTTCTGTGTTTTGTATATATTTCTGCAGTATTCACATCACATCCACTGATAAAGCCACTGAATGGAGAAACGTCTACAAGGTAAAGATACACAGATGCTGCACCTGTGTCTGGCCCAGGTGTGTATTCGCTGTTACATGAACCGGGGCTACAAGTGTGAGATAACGTGCTCCACCTCTCCATCAGCCTCAGAACTGAACCGGGGTCTTTCGGTTGTGAGCCAAAACCGCTGAAAAAAGAGACACGAGTTATTTCATGTTGATAATGGTTCTAATTCTTCTCTGGAATTATAATTTGTCAACAATGGCTGGAACTGAGACTTGTGACAGCTATCATTATCACCGCTTCGAATTTCACCTCAGCATTTTCTCATTTTACGTATTTTCTTCTTTTATTCTGTGTTTCCGCAGATGCGGGTATGGAGGGCGGATGTTGCCGCAGCGGACGTGGGTGGTGCGGTCGTGGGTGGTGTTCGCGGGAGACGCGGCAGGCGGTGGTACAGCTGGTGCTGCTCTGTGTAGCTTCCTGTTCCTGGACGCTTCTGCTCATCTCCTTAACCCTCACCTCCACCAGCGCACCTGTTCACAGGTAACTACATTCCTCAACACTCTTGTGACCTGTCTCTGACCTGAAGCCAGACCTGTGGTGGCAGCCTGCAGGTCATCACAACATGGCTAATCTTATTCTTAAATTCATTCGCCACTGCGTCTGAAAATGTGTGTTCTGAGTGTGTGTGTGTGTGTGTGTGTGTGTGTGTGTGTGTGTGTGTGTGTGTGTGTGTGTATGTATGTGTGTGTGTGTGTGTTCTGACTGTGTGTGTGTATGTGTGTGTGTGTGTGTTTGTGTGTGTGTTCTGAGTGGGTGTATGTTCTGTGTGTGTTCTGAGTGTATCTTCTGAGCGTTTGCTCTGAATTTGTGCATTTTGAGTGCATGAACTTTGAGTGTGTGTACTGGGTGCGTGTTCTGAGTAACTGCTATGAACACTTTATTCTTAACTGGTTACACTTCCAAAGTTAAGTTGAAAGTGTAACCAGTTAAGAATAAAGTGTTCACAGCAGATACTTTCTACCTGTGTGGTGACACTTTCATCCTAACTGTGGATACTTTCTTTTTGCACGTAGACACTTTTTTTTTTTTTGCTAACCTGTGAACGCTTTTTGCTTTATCGGCACTTTCTGCTTGTCAGTGAAAGCTTTCTAATTAAGTGCAGATAATTCTGCGTATTTGTGGAAACTTTCTGTTCCTGTACACATTTCCTAACTGTACACACCTTTTTTGTTTTACCTGTAAACACTTTCTGTCCATCTGTGGGAACTTTGTACTTTCTGCCCACAACAACACACAGCTTAATGAACAGGTGGGGTTTGAACTTTGAACTTTCTGCCCACAGGTGGGGTTTGAACTCGTGGCAAGTGAGTCGTAAAACTCTAGGGCAGTGCGTAAGCCACTGGACCAACTGGCTGCAATAAGATTCAACCAATTAAATACATTTATGCAGTCATACCCCACTTTACGTCATTTCGGCCTACGTCAAAGTCGCGTAGGCCGAAACGACGGCATTGTGTCCGACTTTACGTCACTCAGCAACGTCACCTGGGTTCATTATTCTTTAAGAAAAATGTATTTTTAGTGCTCTTTAAGGTTTAACATTAGTTATATTCTTTTGCGAGTTATTTACGCTAGTAAATAACTCATTAGTGAAAGGCATTTTAAAGCATTATGAACATCAAAATGGTATATAATACCGACAGGTTGTTAGGTAAGACACATATGCAACAGTTAGACAACTTTATTCCGAAACGTTTCGCCTACACAGTAGGCTTCTTCAGTCGAATACAGAAAGTAGGCTATGGAACTGAACTTCTCCAGGCCGAGGGACTGACAACCTCAAATTCTACGACTTTAAGGGTGATGGACTGATTACATCGTCTTCACATCTCTTCTGTTCCTGCCTACTTTCTGTATTCGACTGAAGAAGCCTACTGTGTAGGCGAAACGTTTCGGAATAAAGTTGTCTAACTGTTGCATATGTGTCTTACTTAAAGCATTATGTTCGGTTTACGTCAAAAATCAGGTTATGGTACGGCTCTTGGAGTCAACGTAGGGCGGGTTATGACTGTACGCCACAGGAAGCTTAGCATGGGCCACCACTGTGACCACAAATGCAATTTTACGGATGAATCTCCGGCCAGCGTGGCCATAACAAATTCACAATTTGACCGTGAATGCACACACACACACACACACACACACACACACACACACACACACACACACACACACACACACACACACACACACACACACACACACAGGGCCAGGGGCTATGACATGACCCTTGTAACCACAATTAGGTGAGTATGGGTAAACCGAGGAACATTAATCTGGAAAGGAAGAATGGACAATAGAGCTCAAGAGAAGGATGAGAAAAGTGAGAAAGAAAGCTAGATGAGTTATCATTAAAATGGAGGAGATGATAGATGCAGAGAGCAGGAAGTAGGAGCTGCAAGCCGAAGCTGCAGAGGCCAGAATGCAGAACTTAGAAGATGAACTGAAAAGGCTGAAGCAGGATATAGAGCCAAAGAACAGTAGGGGCATACCTGGAGTATACCTGGAGAGGGTTTCAGGGGTCAACTCCCCCGCGGCCCGGTCTGTGACCAGGTCTCATAGCATTGGGAGCAGAAATACCAGCAACCGGCAAGGGAACCAAAGAAAAGGAAGGGGTTAAGTCCTATGCAGAGGCCTTATCAGGCCACTAGGAGGCCCAGGAAATGTCGATGAGTGAAAGCAGCATGTCGTTGGGTTCAGGAACAGTGGTCAGTGAGGGGATTGAAGTTAGATCCTCTGCAGAGGCACTATCAGGCCACCAGGAAATCTAGGAAATGATAAGGAAAGCAGCAATGGAGATTCTTAAATTGGACCCAAAAATATTGTGGGAAATGTAATTGGAAGAGGAGAAGGAAAGGTTAGTTTTTATTCATGGGCTTCAGGAGGCCGATGGAAGGACATGTGAAGAAAGACTAGAAGGGAAGAAAAGAAAAAGAGACTGAAAATATTAAACGAACAGGAGAGAAGGACATGGCTGTGCTAACAAATTTTCAAGTTATTGATAAATTACCATCTACAAGTTGTTGATAGATTATCATGTACAAGTTGTTGATAAATTACCATATACATGTTGATAAATTATCATGTACAAGTTGGTGATACATTAACAGGCACAAGTTGATCGATTATACACAAGTTGTTGACTTGAAGACCTCCCATTTCCCATACGCAGTATGAAACCCTTACAGGTTTAGGTCTTCTCAGTGTTGCAAAACACTTGTAATGAGACCAGTGAATAAAACATGAACTCGACTGACATACACAGACATTAAAACATCATAACATTCCGTTTGTGTTTGCTTTATTGTACTGATAAAGGCACTTGTTGGCGAAACATCTACGTAATGAAGATACCCAGTTGCTGCACGTTTCTAATACTTTATACATTAAAGTGTGTGGAGTGTGTCAAGTGTACAAAGGTAGGAAGCAGCAGCAGCAACAGAAACAGAAGAAGCAGCAGCAGCAGCAGCAGCAGTAGCAGCAGCAGCAGCAGCAGCAGCAGCAGTAGCAGCAGCAGCAGCAGCAGTAGCAGCAGAAACAGAAGAAGCAGCAGCCGTAGCAGCAGCAGCAGCAGCAGTATCAGCAGCAGTAGCAGCAGAAACAGAAAAAGCAGCAGCCGTAGCAGCAGCAGTAGCAGCAGCAGTAGCAGCAGAAACAGAAGAAGCAGCAGCCGTAGCAGCAGCAGTAGCAGCAGCAGTAGCAGCAGCAGCAGCAGTAGCAGCAGCAGCAGCAGCAGCATAGCAGCACCCAGCAGCAGCAGCAGTAGCAGCAGCAGTAGCAGCAGCAGCAGCAGTAGCAGCAGTAGCAGCAGCAGCAGCAGTAGCAGCAGCAGCAGTAGCAGCAGTAGCAGTAGCAGCAGCAGCAGCAGCAGCAGTAGCAGCAGTAGCAGTAGTAGCAGCAGCAGCAGCAGCAGTAGCAGCAGTAGCAGCAGTAGCAGCAGCAGCAGCAGCAGCAGCAGCAGCAGCAGCAGCAGTAGCAGCAGTAGCAGTAGCAGCAGCAGTAGCAGTAGCAGCAGCAGCAGCAGCAGTAGCAGCAGTAGCAGTAGCAGCAGTAGCAGTAGCAGCAGCAGCAGCAGTAGCAGCAGCAGCAAGTAGCAGCAGCAGTAGCAGCAGAAACAGAAGAAGCAGCAGCCGTAGCAGCAGCAGCAGTAACATAGCAGCAGCACCCAGCAGAAACAGAAGAAGCAGAGCAGCAGAAACAGTAGAAGCAAGCAGCAGTAGCAGCAGCAGCAGTAGCAGTACAGCAGAAACAGAAGAAGCAAAGCAGCAGAAACAGAAGAAGAAGCAGCAGCTGTAGCAGCAGCATCAGCAGCTGTAGCAGCAGCAGCAGAAACAGAAGAAGCAGCAGTAGCAGCAGTAGCAGCAGCAGCAACAGTACAGCAGCAGCAGTAGCAGCAGCAGCAGCAGTAGCAGCAGCAGCAGTAGCAGCAGCAGTAGCAACAGCAGCAGTAGCAACAGCAGCAGTAGCAACAGCAGCAGTAGCAGTAGCAGCAACAGCAGTAGCAGTAGCAGCAGCAGCAGAAGAAGAAGAAGCAGAGCATAAGAACATAAGAAAGAAGGAACACTGCAGCAGGCCTACTGGCCCATGCGAGGCAGGTCCAAGTCTCCTACCGGCTTAAGCCGGTACAACACGACAACTGACCTAGTAGCACAACTAATCAGGTCCAACTCACACCCCCACACCCACTCATGTATTTATCTAACCTATTTTTAAAACTACACAACGTTTTTAGCCTCATAACTGTTCTTGGGAGTTTGTTCCACTCATCCACTACTCCCATTACTGGGAACCACTTGCCACTTGTAGCAGTGCTGGACTGCACCTCACGCTGGTAGCCGTTGCTGCCTCCCCACCTACAGCTTCCTCGCAGCGAGAGACGACGCATCTCGCTGCTGTAGCCTCATTCCCCTCTACCATATCAGCCACCTCACACTCGCTCCCAACCCCAATGAGGTGAACCTTCAGCCTCCTAATCTCCTCCTGAGAAGCAAGACTTCCTCCTTCAACTCCCCAACCTCAATTTTTAAAACACTGCAGAAGCAAGCCATGCTTTGTAACCGTCCACACTAATCCCCAAAGCAGCTCAGGGCTTGTGACCTCACGTGACGACTGACCACTGACCACCACCAGCAGCAGAAACAGAAGAAGCAGCAGCAGCAGTAGCAGCAGAAACAGAAGAAGCAAGCAGCAAAACAGAAGAAGCAGCAGCAGCAGAAGTAGCAGCAGAAACAGAAGCATCAGCAGCAGTAGCAGCAGAAACAGAAGCAGCAGTAGCAGAAACAGAAGAAGCAGAAACAGAAGCAGCAGTAGCAGAAGTAGCAGCAGAAACAGAAGCAGCAGTAGCAGAAGTAGCAGCAGAAACAGAAGCAGCAGCAGCAGGAGCAGAAGTAGCAGCAGAACCACAAAAAGCAGCAGCACAGGAGCAGAAGTAGCAGCAAAAACCACAAAAAGCAGCAGCAGCAGCAGCAGCAGCAGCATCA